TTTGTGTTAATACCCCAAAAACGATTTCATGTTCGATTTTTGAAGATTTGGGTTCCTGTTCTGATCTAACATACACACACACACACACTTAAACCTGAAGAAACTCTCAAGAACACGATGAACAACTGATGAACTAGATAAACTATCAAGAACACGATGAACAAACCCTACATTCAAAAATCATTTTTAGAGTGAGAAATTGTGATATGTGTTCTTGAGTTTGAAAAAAAGAAGTTGAAGATGAAGAATTGATTTTTGGGTTCGAGTTCTTGAGTTTGAAAATCGAACACCCACATGGGTTTATGTTCGAAATTTGTTTAGATCTAACAAAGAGACATAAGGAGAGAACATACCTGAGTTCTTGAGTTCGCCGGAAAAATCATGAACGTCGGAGAAGATGATCGGAGCTTTTCCGGAGCAGTCAAATACGCCGAAAACCAGCTAAACGTACTATTACAGGTCATAAGGATGTTTTTTGAACGGTTCAACAAGTTCAATAGGAAAATATGGACAAAAAAAAGTCAGTGACTAAATATGTACAAAAAGAAAAAAATATTACCCTTTTAAGTCATTATCCCATATTAGTATCATCTCCTTCTCTGGAACCAAAAGCGCAACAAGTCTCCCACGTGGTCTACCTACATACATTCCTACTCACACCCTTATTACATACATTCATACTCGAACCTTTACTGACTGAATTAAGCATCATAGCATAATCCAAAGACATCCCGAACTACTATTAACCTTTCTTTTCAGGTGAGTTTTGAGTTGCATCTCACCAAACTAAGGACAATAACTACATTATTGGTGATACCTAGCTAGATTATACCCCGCCCCCTCCCAGAAAAACGGACATATCATCTATTAAATTTGTGGTTTTTTAAAAGCATTGTGTGGTTTGATATTATATAAACAATAATAAGTCATATTAATTTTTTATTTCTATGACAACCCGAAATTTTCATTTGTATAATCTCTACAGTCAAACACTTCAAAAATTAGCCAAATTCATCTCAAAAACATTTTTGGCCGGTTTTAAGTCCGTTTGAGTATTTTACTTTAATTTTTCGTCAAACGACCAAATAAATGGAAGTGTCTGTTAGGTGTGTTGTGTAACGAGATAAACAATTAAACACCTTGACGAGGTGTTTACGGCCAAACAAGGGGTTTGGACCATAAACTCCCTTTGACATGAACTCATGCATATAACATGAGTTTACACTCCATTTCCCACTTTTCCACTTCCCACTCAAGAACACCAAGCCTTTTTCCTCTCAAGTATCATCACACACTTCTTCCAAATCCACCAAAAATGTAAGCTTTCCTTCCTAAATTCGTTCATACAACACTTAATCTAGTGTTTATACATCATTTCATCCACGAATTCTTCATTTTTAACTAGATCTTCAAGTGTTCTTCAAAACACCAAGAACACACACTAGTGTTTTTGGGTCCTAAACACTCCTACAAGCTTCATATAAGTAAGTACACTCCTCCTAGCTAGTTGTTAGCTTAGTGTACTTGTTAATCCATGGAATGAACACCAAAAATCCCCAAGAACATGTGTTTACGGTTTGGGGATCTCCCAAAACCGTAAACACCTCCAAGAGGTGTTTAGATGCCCCTAATGCCTTCTAATGTTTGTATAAAGGAGTAGAACCTTGCATGCATGAACTAGAAACCCCAAAAACATGAAAGGAATGGACAAACATGAGTTTACGGTTTGGGAAGGTCTCCCAAAACCGTAAACACCTTCAAAGGGTGTTTAAGTGCCCTTAACACCTCCTATGGCTTGTATAAGTGACTAGAACCTTGCATGCATAAGATAGAAACACCAAAACACGAAAGAAGAGGACAAACATGATTTTACGGCCATAAACCCATGTGTTTACGACCATAACTCCCAAGGAGTGGTCCAAGGACCGTAAACTCCAAAAGAGGGTCATTTTGAGCCCTAGTCACTTTTTAAGCCCTTGAGTCGAGTCTAGCTCACTTCCTTGAGTAGTATAAGACCTTAAAACATCCAATGGCACCATTCCCATGAGTTTACGGCCGTAAACTCATGGGGGAAGTGGTCCAAAAACCGTAAACACCCCTAAGGGCCACCATTTGAAGTGTAAACTCCATAGTGAGGTCATACACTCCTTATATGCAACCCTTAGTACTCTTAGCACCTGTAGCAAAGTGTTTTCATGTATTAGGGTGTCCTAACTCACTTAATTAGTTATTAAATGACTAATTAGATACATAAATGTATCATTGCATGTTCAATAGGATCCGAGTGTGTGTTCAAGTCCTCACTTGACACATAGCATCCTATACCATCCGTCCATCCGAATCACCCACGACAAGTGAGTTCATACCCCTATATTTTTTCGAGTTTTTTTGTGTTTTCAGGGGGAATACAAGCAAAAGTACAAGGAAACTTGTGCTCAGTTATATTATTTTGTTTAAAATGATTACATGTTCAGTATGCTTTCAAACACAGAAAACCGTTTTACCACTCGATTTAGAAATCAACTCGTAGAAACTGTTTTCAAAACTAAAGCACAGAATTTATGAATCTTGTCATAAATTGTGATATTTTACAAAGGATTCATACCAACCATAAACAGGATTTTCTATATTATTACTTGTAAATTTGTTAGTCTAAGGATTGGAGACACGTCCTTGGTAACACTCCACCGGATTCGTGAGTGTAGGACTACCCTTGTAACCAGAATCTCTTGGAGGGAGAGCGTGACTATTGTGTATAGATGTATACGGGACTGACTATCTCGCACCTCGCTGCTAGCTAGAGTGGGACCATCAGGTCTTCGGGTGACAAAGTCATAAAACGGTACTGGCCACCGTACGTGCCATATCTAGTTTAATGTATGGTTATGAAACTCGCAACCTAGATAACGGAGATTTACTTTTGGTAATAATGAACCTAGTGAACTAACCTCAAAGTAATAACCGATTTGATTACTAGAGGGTATCAGTAGTACCCTTAGGAATTAGTTCACCACTTACTTATTAGTTTTATGTATGTAATAAAGCTAATACATATCACTGATAGAAACAGAGTTTTTCAAGGAAACTACACCTAACGATACAAGTATGGTAGATACTTGTACACCTCATTTCAGAATCGATAACCAACCATCAACTTTTAAGGAAAATATGGGATTTTCCTGGGATAACTTAACCTTTCATAAACAGGCTGTTTAACAAATGGATAATCAAACTTCTTTCATAAGAAAATATGGGATTTTCTGGGGAAACAACTTTTCATAAAATCAAAGGAACATTTCTTTCACCAGAACTAAACGCTTATGAACTCACCAGCTTTATGCTGATATATTTTAAAACTGCTTGTATTCTCAGGGCAACCATAGACAGGTACTCCTGTCAACTTTTGGAGAAGACAGAGCATTTTGGAGTCACGTCTTTTACTTTTGCTATATACTGATATGTATAAACTTTGTATTAAGACAATGTAAATCTTTTCATGTATGTATTCAATGTTTGGTTGTGTTTACTATGCTTACTATGATACAACTGTTGTGATACTACGCATGACGTCACTCCGCCCCGGAACGTTTCCGCCTTCGGTTTCGGGGTGTGACAATTTCCTTTCATGATGGAACGAAATAAACACAAATAATATTTAACAAAGGGAACCATCCGAGTAGCACCCCATAAAGAAGGCCTCAGGTTCAAACCATGGAGGTTTCGATCAATGGATGACCAAGAGAAGGGTACGCAAAATAATTTTAAAAGGGGTTGTTTAATATCATCGTCAAAGACGAACTCTCTCCCCCAAACCTCGCAATTACATTGGTCAACTTCGATCCATCAAATAAAACAAGATTCTTTTCATGAAGAAGCAATGAATCATTTCATTTTTTTCCCAATTTTAGAATACTAAATACTAGCCAAATTTCATGATTTTTGGAATTATATATAGAGATTTTGTCTCTAGCTAACCAATATTTTGAAAAACATCCCTTACAATGGATTGAAAAAGCTTCACATATGCATGGCCTTAAAAAAACATTCCTTAGTGTCCTTGTTTTAAAATTATTTCCTAGTAGCATTGGAGTTTTTACTTGAAAGAATACAACACATTATTATGCATGAGTTTAAGAATTACAAAAATGGATGCCCATTTGGCTATAAAGACCACATGTAACGACTTGACATGTATGTTAGAAGTTAATGTTACAAGGAGCACATACAATAAGAATTTACAACTGCTAACATACCATAAGATTTTAAAACATAAAGAGGAAAAAAAATCACGGATGTGATTACCAAGGTTGTCGATAGCGATGGCGAGGAAATAGCGACAACCCACCTATACGTTACGCAGCGATAGCGATGAAATAGCGACATCTATTTCATGCTTTGTGATTTCTTATAAGATTAAACACTATATTTACCTGCACCTATGCAACAATAAAAAATAACACATAGAACTAACATGTATCAATTCTATTAAGCTAACATTAAGTTCCAAAAGATATTTACCACAAAAGATTGGTTAGTTTTAGACTCTAAAGTCTAAAACTGAGTTCTAATACCACAAAAGAATGGTTATTTTTAGACTCTAAAGTCAAAAACTATGTTTCAATACCACAAAAGTGAGTATTATGACTCTAAAAGTCTAAACTCTAAGACATTTGCAAACTGAAGTGGAATCACCAGCAAGGTGATTTTTATGTCTTGTAATCCCACCTTTGGCAACATTTGGACAATAATTACACAACACCCAATTTGAAGTTCCTACAACTCTTTTCCCATGTTTCCAACCAATATCATCATCTTTTACACCAGGAGGCGTGCATGAAATTAGGAGCATTAAGTCAAAGATTAGTTTCCAAAAAGAAGTAGAAGAATCATAAGAATCACATAATCAAGATCACACAGTAGAATTCAAAGAATCTCAGAATTTGTAAGAAAGAACGAAGCCAAAGATTACCTTTTTTGAAATTGAAGTCTTGTAGAATTGATCAGAAGATAGAAGTCAAAAACTAAAATTAGAAGAATAAAGTTAAGAAATGAAACCGAGAAGTTAGAAAAAAAACATAGCAAATTAAAAATATTACCTTTTTGAAGTTGAACAATCGAGATGGATTCTTGAGTCGTTGGAGTCGTCTGGGGAGAAGGTGAGGTGTGCTATTGTCGCTATTGTCGCGGAAGTGGGAAATAACCCACCAAAATCGATTTTGGTGATTTGGCACTGATCGTACAATCTTAGTCGATTTAGAGGGGAAGACACGAAATTGACTGTACGATTGCCCGCCTAAACCTATTCCAAGCCTAATTGCTTCGTTTCTTACCGATTTAAACAAAAAAAAAATCAATTTTGTCATACATCTCGCTACACACGCTATTGCCTCGCTACAGGCATGGTAGCGACCCATCACAGCTACGCTACGCTATTCACTATAGCGAGGGTAGCGATCACTATTAACAACCTTGGTGATTCCTCCGGACCATAACTAAAAAACAAGCAACAATTCTCTTCAAACGAAAAGAAAAGAAAAGAAAAAACATAGGACTAGAGTTATTCCCCCATGACAAAAGATTAGACAACATATTTCACTACATTTGGTGTGCATTAAACAAGTTAATTGTATAAAATTGCAATTTTTTCTCATCCTAAAAAAGTTGGACTCTCAAATGTCTTTTTTATTGTTATCACCACAAATAACCATAGGAAACTTGTTAGTACCGTCTTGTTGAGTCTTTCCCATGTTACAAATGCATTCTACGGGTGCATTTATGGAACATGACAAGCTTGGTAGGGCATATGTGACGATGAGAATGAGGATATTTATATATTTTGCAGATACAAAACATGGAGAGTAAGTCTTTATCCTAACTTGTTGGGTAGAAATCATGACCGAGTAAGAAACCATGCTGTTTGATTGTATATCTGACTGAATGTGTTGACCGATGAAAAATGACCATGTTACCCTGCTGCTCTATATAGTGTTGGATGAAGTTGCTGAAGAATTATAAAAACATACAAATTGTCATACAAAATGTAAATTACACACACAAATCATTTAAAAATTCAAATCCTCAATTACACCAAACACTAGCAAACCTATAAAAAACACTTATTGGATATAATGAATGTAAAAACAAGTAATCGTAGCTAAAATACTTTTCATCTATATTTTATACCATAAATTCTCACTTCAAATACAAACCCCCACCTTAATATACTCTGGAATCACCAATTCCAGAGATATCTTCAATTTCAATGGGGAGAACAACCTCGATCAAGATCATCAGAAAATCAATCCACACATTCCTCCAAAGCTAAAATCACTTCAAAATTGCATCCCTTTTAACTCTTCCTTTCTCACTATCAATCCTCCTCTTATCATCTCTTTCGTCGGAATCTACAATTTCATCCTCCAAACACAACTATGGAACACTTTTCTAATCATGTCATCACACTTGATAGCGTAATGATTGTATCTTCTACAAAAGATGTAAAATTAAATCTTGTAAGAACATTCTTGATCAAGAGGCAGGTAGGAACATTCCTGATCAAACATAAACATAACAGCAAAAAATCTAAACTTTTAGAGAAGTTTAAAAGGGACATAACAACCATTTAGAACAGCAAGGGTACAATTGGAAACCCTTACAACAAAATCAGAATTGAACATTCAACATCAAACATGAAGTGAACAGAAAATCACTTGAAACAAATCACTTGAAAATTCGGAACATTTATCCATCTCAACAGCAAAAGAACTTTCAACCGCAAAAATACTTTCAACAACAAAAGAACATTCAGCAAAAATCGAAACAGTAATCTTTTAAGGCATTTTGACATACGAATTCAAGAAATCGGAACAGCAAAAATCGCAACAGTGGTCGACGATGGCAGAAATCGGAAGTATTAGAGATGCTTACCCGATGAAATGAGGAAGGAGGTCCGATCGGTGGGTGGAAGAGAAATAATGGGTCGACGATGCTTGTTGGTCGCAAGAGAAGAAAAGAGCCGTTGAAAAAGGAGAAGAAAGGGAGGTTGGAAGATACGTTAGGGCAAGGGTAGCAGTGGAAACTTTTCTCTCTTACTCAGTCTGCTGATTTCTTATTTCTTTCCCAATCAAATTCGTCTTTCCGAGTTAGACGCACACAAGTTGTTTGTCAAACACGTTTGGCTTACCAAGTCAACCAAAAAGGTCTAACTAAACTCGATCACACAAATACCACACACCACCTAAAACTTGTCTATTGACAATGATCCTAATCCAATGCACACCAAACTATATATATATATGTTATCCAACCAAACAAGCAATGCGTATATACACATTTCACCCGTATTTCCCATATTGTTCCATCTTTTTTGTTGTGTTAAAATTGAATTTCAATAACCCAAACACTAAATATTTAGTAATTTCTAGTTTTACTTTTTTGGATATGACAACTATAAATTTTTTACATTTTTTGGCAGACTCAACCCCAATACAATGCAAGTCAAACACAAACACCAGAGTTGTACGGTACACATTTGGTTTGAAGACTTTGAAAGTCATGTTTCTCAACTTGTAGCACTACAATTACATATGTACCTTGGCACATTGTATAATTTCCTGTATTTTTCACACACAAAAAAACATGCAACAAGAGATCATCCAACCTAAAACAAGGGCAAAGCGATTCACAAATTTTTGAAAAAAAAAACACAAAACACAAAACGTAGGAGCAACTCGACTATATAATTATGGAAGTTGAACAAAACTTGCAACCACTATTAAAAATCTTTCCAATATCCTCAAAAATCCATCTCTTTCATCCATTTCGAACAAGCCAATGATTAGGTATCTCTAAATATCCTCGGAAGCACTTCATGGGCACTGATGTCTAACGCCACTGGATCCCTGTAATAAAGGAATAAATTATTATATGGACTTTTTTATATAATATGCCAATACAATGTATAATTGTATACAGCTAACTCTACTCCATATGCTATTTTATTTAATAATTAATGAACTTTTATATATAAAATTAAAGATAATTTAACTCACTGAAATACATTTAAGATTTATACTAAAAAACATATATTTTTAGAAACAACCCTTAAGGTGTCGTTTTTTTTTTATACTTAATGGACATGGGGACAACACAGACGTTTCTATTTTACTTGATGCATAAAGAAGAACTTAATAGAAAAGTCGTGGAAAGGAGGCTTTCTCCATTAAGTCCTAACTTTTACAAAATTACCCTCATTTATATTTTCCTTCCATTTCACTTTAGGTTGTGTTTAAGCTAGCTTATTTTTTGAGCTTATTGCAATATTGTGTTTAGTGAGACCACTAAAGTAGCTTATAAGCTATCTTTTTAAAAAGTAATTCGAGATAGTTTATTGATAAGCTCATGTAGGTTTTCCAACAATTTTCCAAATATTATATACCCTTATATGCTCATTTTAAATTATATCTAAATGTCGTCTTATGTCATTTTTGGCATCCAGCTTATAGGTAAAAAGCTAGTTTGCAAAACACAGCCTTAGTTTGTAGTCACTTTCTGAAATATATTTTAGTATCAATTATCCAAACTGAAATATTTTTAGATGAGTAATATATTTGAATAGTTGATAATAAGAAGACTAACTTGCATAATATTTGGGCCTTCTCAGAAGAACTAGAAATGAACCATTCTTTTCTGAGAAGAGGGGATTCAAACTGCACAAAAAATCCATCACTTTGTCCATGCTTCCATTTCCTTGGTCCCTGTCCTTTCCACACCTGTATTGTATACAACAAAAAACAAACATTGTTTTATTATAGCATCCTACTTCTATTTTTTCCTAAAGTTGTAATAGAAAGTTGAAAGTAGAATGCTATAACTAATTGGATATGAATGGTTGGTACCTGTGGGTATGAAATGATAGTTTTGGGTGCAACTAAGCATGCTGCTTGAGAGAAAGAGTCAGTGGCATATTGCCTTAAAAAGGAATAACAATCACCATGTGTGTGGGGTGTCTCGAATGCCTGTTTAAAAAATCAACATCAGCATCAGAAATGGAGTTTAAATGACTTTTTTTCTTTTTATTATATTATATGTAAATGGAATGTATAGTTTTAAATCTAGTATATACATTATTTAATTATAAGTAATGAATTTTTTCTTTACAAAAATAAAAAAATTGAACATGATACAAGTTCATTTGTAATCCCAATAAGATTATAATAAATCAATATTTTTTTTTCTAGTTACTTTTACAAATATAAACTTAATTTAACTTAAATCGTGAATTTTTGTAAAACAATTTGTGCCATTAAAAATTACTCCATGAATAAAAATGGTTCATATAGTAATTTGTCAATGGAATTTTATAATTGCGTACATTATGGCTAATACCAAATAATGGTTTGATTTGGGTTTATATTTCATCTCCAGTGAGTCAAAAATGGTTAAAATTAAAAACTTGAATGAAACAGATCAAATGTGTAAATTTAAAAACTGAATGAAATGGGTTAAAATTAACCCAAAGCGTATTAAAATGCTTACAACCATCTAAAATTGCTTTATTTATAAAATTAAATTATCATTTTAATAATAATAGTATAGTGTTTGTAATCATTTTTTGACACATAAATTACATATATAATTCAAAAAATACACACAAAATGTTGGTGGATCAACCCAACCCATTTCACCCACATTTAAAAATGACCCGTTTTGACATTTGACCCATTACCCAACCCATTTTACCACCTCTACCACATACAAAAAGCACATGAAACATAAAAACTGATAAAAGCATATCATTAAGAGATAAGAATTTGATTAAATGAATAAGAAAAGTACCTTGTCAATGTTGACAACAGGTGCATATTTTTCAGTGTCTGTTTTTTCTTTATCAAGAAGGAAATAAACTCTAGCATCAACATTAGATGTTTGATGCCATGACTTAACAGCATTCTCCATTGTTTCAACAACAAAAGAGAATATATCTTTCCAAGATTCCCCAACTACATACTTTTGTGCCTGAAACAAATAACATTCTCATTTAAAAACAAGACAAACAACCATAATATTCACATTCAAGAAAAACCCATTTTTTTACAATGCCTTAGATAGAATAAAGCAACATTTTTAGGGAAAGAACAATTGCTAACTAAAGAAAGATTAATTTTCAAAAGAAGTGTTTTAGTTTCATGATTAAAAGAATCACCATAAACTCTAACAATGACCAATATATGCAAACAAAAAAACAGGACTATTGAATAAGAAATAAAATATATAATTACCAATTCAGACTTGAAACTATCCAAGTGCTTTGCCAAATCAACATTTGATCTCATATTGTCGACTTCTTCTGATCGCTTTTTATCTTTTGATAATTGTGTCAATCTCTTGATCTTTCTTGACACCTCTGTACTTTGTGGGTTGTGTTGTGAAGCTATCCTAAAGGCTTCCAATGCCTGCATTACACACACACACACACATTAATACTTATCTATGGGATAAATGCAAGAAATAGCAACATAGTTTCATTTTAGTATTGCACTTCTAATTAGGACACTCTACTATGGGAAAATTACTCAATTATAGCAGTGAAAATTGCTTTGTATTTGAATGATATTGCTAAAAATGAGTTGAAGTGGAATGCTATAGAAGATATTATGAATATATGATTGTTATAACAAACAAAATAAAAAGATATATGTTGTTGTCTCTTGCATTTAACCCTTGATAACCTTGGCTTCATATTGTACATAATAATTATACAGAATATAGTGGAAAAGAATGTAAGCATACATCATCGTATCGTTCCATGGCCTCTAATACACATCCTTTCCTGAAGTAACCCTGAACAAGAAACAAGGATACTTACATCAGACAAACATTGGAGAGAAATTAATGTCTGCATACAATTTGTAGGTCATGTTAATACCTTTTCCCAGCTAGGATTCAAAGATATTGTTGTTTCAGCATCCGTGAGTGCTTTTTGAAGCTTAACAAGATTTAGAAATGCTGCAGCACGATTGCTGGAAAGAAGTTTTAAACAAATCAGCAGAAATGGCATGGAACCCACATCAAGGGAACAGAAGACCATAAGCATGTTTATAAAAATGCAATGAGCATCATCAAATCCTTCCAGATGATAATTGATCAATAAGTTTAACATCTTCCCAAAAGATCCATATTTCTATTTCCCAATGAACATGTACACACACTTATAGAATTTGGTGAGATGGCATTTCTGCTTAACATATGTAGAATTTGGTTTCATGGAATAACAACTGGAGCTTATTTAGAACACATTTTAACGAATCGATGATAAATGCAAACAAATTCGTAGTTATACACTTTGAAGGAATGTTTTTACTGAAGGTATTGAAGCTGTCTAAAATAGCTAAACAACAATGTAAAATCAACTCGTCTATTTCATCTCCTAGTCGACCATTTCATGATACAAAGTCGAACACTAAATAACAAATCGAAGTCACTGTGTAATTTTTAAAACCTATCTATCAAGAAGAAAACAAGAAAAAACAATGAAAGGAACTATCAGATTCAAGCTCACAGTATGTAGCAGGGATCAGAAGAGTAGACAGAACGGTTACCTGTAAAGCGTAGGGTTAGACGGATCTTTCTTGATGGCTTGAGTGTATATGGCAGCTGCTTTTAGGTAGTTTCCGGCCTTGAAAAACTCATTTCCTTGATCTTTCAACGATACATCTGGTTTGGGATCCGCCATTAGAGCTTTTTTACTTTGGTAAGGTTTAATGTTAGGGTTCTGCGAGGGTGATGAGTTTGGCTCGTTTGAGAGGAGAGAGGCGCCTTTCAAGGGAGAAAGCTGCATCAAATGATCGGGAGGAGGATTAGAACGTGGTCTAAAAATTTAATAATGTCAATCAGAAAATGAATTAAGCGAAAATTACAGATATATAGTTAAATTTGATTTATCGAAAATAGCCAATAGCCTATTCTAAAAAGAAAAATTACAAATATAGTTAAATATAGTTTAAAGGGAAATCTCCGGAAAAACTCTATAATTTTAGTCTAATTTATGAAAAAGTCTCAAACTAATTTTTGTTTACAGAAAAGCATAGAATACCAGCTATAACTTCGAAAAACCCTTTTTGCCCGGTTTCAAATATTTAGCCGGTATTCTGTCCTTTTTCGTTAGTTTGCTTAAAATATTAGGATTTTTCTGAAAATTACCCGATAATCAAAATATTGGGACTTTTCTGAAAATTACTATGAAATTAATGGAGATTATTATTAATAAATCATTTATAAACATATAAATTTTTTTATTATAAACAAAGGAAATACATTTTTTGCTAATTTCTAATAATAGAATGGTCGACTATGTACTTCTCTATTGTTTGTTGATCACTTCAAAGTCCCTATGTTCTTCCTATGTATCGTTATGGGTGTCATAGTAAGAAGTAACTTGTTAGGCGTGACGAATACGTAGAGAGTTTGAGTGGCCAGCATGCAATAGATGAGTACTTAGACCACCAATTTATTCCTAGAAATTAGCAACAAATGTATTTCCTTTTTTATAATAAAAATATTTTTTTATGTTTATAAATGATTTGTTAATAATAATATCCATTAATTACATGGTAATTTTCAGAAAAGTCTCAATATTTTGGTTATCAAGTAATTTTTGGAAAAGTCCCAAAATTTTGAGCAAACTAACGAAAAAGGAGATAATACCGGCTAAAACTGCAAAACCGGCCGAAAAGGGTTTTTTCGAAGTTTTAACCGGTATTCTGTGCTTTTCTGTAAACAAAATTTAGGTTTAGACTTTTTCATAAATTGACCAAAAATTTTAGGACTTTTCTGGAGATTTAGTTCAAATCTTCCGTACTTTTTCTTGGTATATTCTTATAAAACAATGACATGTATTAATTTTTATTTTTTATTTTTTTCTTGATTTTGATTTTGAAAATTGCTTAAATAGAAAGTTCAAGGAGTCATATGTACCCGTGATTTCATATATTTTTAATAGTTTATATATAAAATATAGATAAAAATGGAATGTCTATTCTTTTTATATTGTTTTTCTAATTATATTTTTATTATAATAATATGAATTCTACTAAATATTTCATTGTGATGGGGGTTGGGGGGAATATTTAACTGTGGAAGTTGCCTAAGTAGAAAGTTTAAGGGGTCATATTTAACCTATATTTTTAAATGTCTATGTATAAAATATAGATAAAAATGGAATGTCTATTCTTTTTATATTGTTCTTCTAGTTATATTTTTACTATAATAATATGAATTCTACTAAATATTTCGTTGGGGGAGGGGGGGGATATTTAATCGTGAAAGTTGCCTAAGTAGAAAGTTCAAGGGGTCATATTTAATCGTGATTTCATATATTTTTAATAGTCTATATATAGAATATAGATAAAAATAGAATGTATGTTCTTTTTATATTGCTTTTCTAGTTATATTTTTACTATAATAGTATGAATTCTACTAAATATTTCTTTGGAGGAGGAATGACACAAGCAATGACGTATAAAGCCATTCGGTGGCGGGAGGAATGACGCAAGCAATGACGTATAAAGCCATTATTATTGAAGACATTATTGAAGACATGCGTCCTTTCAATATGGAAAGGCAACCAATGACGTGTAAAACCATTATTATTAAAGTCATTATTGAAGACACGCGTCCTTTCAATGTGGAAGATATTGGAAATTTTATTAATGGATTGTAAATTTTATTAATGTAATTATTTAAAAGTATCGGTAGAATAATTTATTAGTTGTCAGTAGTATTAGAATGTGATGTAACATAAAGTGTTAGTCCCTCCATAGTCTAGGGGGCTAAACTGTAAAATAGTTTGACGTATTGCAATCATACGATTGCAATTCTGTAATGTAATCGGCTCTCTTGAGCCTATAAATAGGGTCTTTGCCCATATGAAATAAACAAGATGTTTTGAGTGTTTAAGACTTGAGTTGAATCTCAAAGTTCTTCCTCTGTTGAAATAGTTTGTCTATTTCTGAATAGCAGAGCCCTCTGTTGAAATAGTTTGTTCTATTTTTGAATAGCAGAGCCCTATCCAACCCATACATATAGTTAATAAGAACAATCCATCATCAAGATCATCCCAACGCATCATTAAGGTATAATCATATCCTAATTTTTTTTAATTCCGCCATGTCATTAATATTGAGGGGGGGGGGGGGGGATTTCTGAAATATAAGCAAGAGAAATTCTTTTGTTTTGAGAGCTCAAATGAGATGCAAACTTTGTGAGTAATTGTAAATATTCTTGGAAATAAAATTATTTTTCTCTCGCCTGTGGACTCGCTTGTGGACGTAGGTCGGATTTACCGAACCACGTTAAATACTATGTATGTATGTATGTATGTATATATATATATATATATATATATATATATATATATATATTGTAACACCAATTATTACCAAAGTAAATTCCTCCCATGAAGTCAGATTTAGGCGTTCTTTATATGCACAAATCCTTTGTCACATATTTTATAACTTTGGTTAAGATTATTTATCCTAAATAATCTTCTATCAAAAATTCATTTTTAATGCTTATTATATCTTAATTGACTAGCCTGAATTTGCGGGTGTTACATCAAGACAGGGCATTGCTAGAGCAACAAAGAATATGGTTTCCACTTGTTGAGGAGAGCCCCACAAATGTTGGTCCGGAGAGAAGATTCTTCGGGTATGTCTCAGAAGGTGGAGGTTTCTCTGAGCTAGTAGATGATGGTGAATTTAAAGAGGTTTTGAGTGGTGTCAAATAAGAGATTCGAATCAATATAAGTGGAATGGGATGGAAAGCCCCACGACATTGTCTTCGGTGGTGGACTTGTATGAGGATGTTCCGCATAGTGAATCCAAAGGAAGTTGTCCTTTCGGTGCTTAAGATAGGTCTAGAAAACAAGTTAGACCCTCAGTGCAGTACGCATTCAAGGACATGAAAGCCTACGAGGTTCAAGTGAAGGGTGACACCAGTTGGGGGTTGTTCTTTAGTAAGGAATAGAGAGTAGGGAGTCAGATCATTTTGTTGGAAGGAGATGTGAGATCGTGTTCTGAAACTTAACTGCAAATAAGTCATGCGCTGTTAGTGGGTCTTTCAGAAGACGAATTTATCGGGTACCTAGGCCACGTAGTTCAAAACTTAACTTGTGGATAAGAGTTATACCCAGAAAGATGGATTCGACTATGCAAAAGCTTTTTCCCTAGTAGTATGAGAAGTGAAGTTTCTTCATTGTGATCTTGATGAAGGAAACTCTAGGGCTCAACCAGTGTGGTTTTTTGGATTATCGGGGTTTTTTTATGAAGAAAATAAACGTGTTAGCTGTCATGTTCCTATCTAGCTGTCATGTTCTTATCCTCTTATTTAGCTTGTCTTTAACAATTCAAATTGATGTATATATGTCTTTGAACGATTGAAATGAATTAGATAATATAAAATTGAGGAAGCCTAATTGGTTCCTGTTGATTGTTTACTTTCGTTCTCTTTATGGTATCAGAGCGGGTTTCTCTAACCCGCTGAGTTCATCGTTCAAGGCCCCACGATGGCCGGACCCGACGATGTTGAAGGCAGCAGCAAGGATAAAGCCAAAAACCCTTCCTCTGATCCCGATTCTCCTTACTATGTTCATCCAACTGATTATCCTCGTCAGATGCACGTGAATGACAGTTTGAATGACAATAATTATGCTGATTGGTTAAGAGAGATGAATGTGACAACCCGAAATTTCTATCTTGAATAGTGTTCAAATCAATCAAGGTTAGACTCATTTTGGTATCTTCTAGCATTGTTTTGAGTCAATTAGAGCGTTGTAAGCCTAGTACATCCAAGAAATGAGTGTTAGGATTTATCTGCTTGAGTCCATCGTGCACCAAGCAAGCCATAAACTTCATCATGTGGAGTTTACGGCCACACCATATGAGTTTACGGCCGTAAACTCAAGGTGGTCGTAAACTCGGGCTATAAACATGATATTCTATCATTTCTTCCTCATTATTCACCATTTCAACCTCAAGAACTTGATTCTCTCTCAAGTATCATAAGATCTTCGTTTTTATCTTCCAAAAATGTAAGTGTTTCTTCCCTTGAATCATTGATACATCTCATTATCTAGTATCACCCTTTGATTTCATCCATTAATTTCATCTTTTGTGTTTGATCTTCAAGTGTTCTTCGTTTTCACCAAGAACACCTACTAAGTTCTTGGACTTCAAACACCCCTAAAGGCTTCTAAACTCGTAAGTACCTTCCTATGTGTATTACTTACTAGATATGCTACTTGAAATCATCCAATAACCAAGATCAAAGAGAGTTTACGGCTAGGAGCATCTCCCTTGGCCGTAAACCCTTGTTAAGCCTTCAAGTTGGACATAAACACTTCCTTAAGGCTTGTATTGGGTCTAGAACACTTCCATGATGTTTGTAAGACCTTAAATCATCACTTTGACACAAGACTTCATGAGTTTACGGTCGTAAACTCATAGGGCCGCAAACCCTTTGGCCGCAAACTCATAGGGTCGTAAACCCTATGGCCGCAAACTCAAAGGGCCGTGAACACTTGGCCGTAAACACCTTTAGGTGGCCATACACCCCTTATATGCAATCCTTAGTACTTTTAACACTTCAATCAAACCAGTGGATTTCTTACATTTCAAACTGTGTTATCAAACAAACTGTTTCAAATCGTTTTATAAACTCTTTTACATGATAAATACTTTCTATTAAACTCTGTTAAACTTATACTTTGTCAAAATCATGTCTATATAGATATAATTATATAAGTAGGATTGAAAGGACTTAGGACTGATAACTCACCTTATTTCATGTTCCTTGTTTGGTTGTG